TGGAAACTTTGGATTCTCTTCCCATCATTCTTGAAGAGAGTAATATAATTGCCCCTTTGCCTCAAGCCATCCTCAATCAAAGAAAGAAGAAAACACAGAGAAACAGTTTTGGTTCATTGGCAAGGATTGTCACCTTCCGACGCCACATGGGAAAATCTGGCTGAGCTTCATTTGTGATTTTCCTGAAGCTACCCTTGAGGACAAGGGTGTTGTCTAGGGGAAGGAATATTATGTTTCCATTGGAGCAGAACTTTAGTTGCAATGAATTGGTTGAATAAGTTTTTACTTGACATTAGGAGAATTTAAATTTCATATCCATGTTTATCAAATTTTCTGTTAGGTTGTTCCTATTTTGTTGGGTTGTTCAAGTGTAGTGAGATAGTGGGTTTGTTCCTATTTTAGTGTGATATTGGCTGCTGAACGTTAGTAGAGTGGTTTACTTTATTCCTATTTATGTGTATGATCTCAGTTGGAAATAATCATCCAAAATTTTATTCCACACTTGTGTGATATTGGAGGATTGGGTTTCCCTCAAAGCAAACCCATTTTCTTTTTGATTTTCTTGTTCACAACCTCTCCCAGCAACTTTGTTTTTTTTTGTCTTTCCTTTCTAGCAAAAATAGGTAAACAGAAGAACAAGAACACCAACTCTGCTGCAGTCGCACATAACAAAGGCATGTTAAAAGTAAAGATATGTTCCAGCCCCCCCTCCCCCCCAAGAAAAAGGCTAAAGATATGTGAAATCACCTTTGTTTGTGGTGAAAGAAAGTGATTTGGAAATAGATTTGGGCAGATCTGTGTATGCAAACAGATTTGGAGAGAGAGGTATGTGGATCTCTCACAGATCTGGGCATATCTATGTATGCAAACAAATTTGAAGAATGAGAGGTGTGGATCTCTCACAACTATAATTAACAGAAGACGTCTTAGGCAGCGCAACGGACGATGAGGAGGGCTACAAAGCTCTATTTGACGAGCTTGAGAGAGAAGATGAGGAGAAAGAGAGAGCATGGAGCTTTGTTCGACGAGCCCAGATCTAACTTCTCCACATCTTCATTATTCCCGGCTTCAATAGCTACCGACAATGGCGATTTCCATCGTCGTTCTACGTCAAGCAGGGGGAGATAGATTGTGGGAGGGACAGAGGTGGGAGATTAGAAAGTGGCACTGACAGTAACGGTGACGGTGACGGTGTATGTGGTAGCGAGAGTGTGACAGACGGAGGGGATAGAAACACTAGGATAGAGAGAAGATAAAGAGAGAGAGAGAGAGAGAGAGAGAGAGAAGGTTTTGAGAAATTGTACGTGTTTGTATGTTTTTATATAGGGGGTATTTCGGTCATTTTATGAGAGTTTGTTCTTATGGATATAATATTACAGCTCCCATACCTTTGGGTGTTTCTACTTACACCACTCTTTTAGCTCCTTACACCCTCCATCTCATTACACCACTAAAAAAAAAATATAACTCTCATTACACCCCCATTATATTACCAATAGTAACCCTAAATTAACCCTTTCATCTCTTTACACCACTTACCTTTTGGAGGGAAAAAAGAGAAGCAGGAGCAAGGAAAACGACGGGTCCGACGTAGAGAAGGCAAGTGTTTCAGATGGCGGGAGGGATTTGAATGGCGTTGTGGTCTGTGGTATCGGCGTGGACGATTAAACTCATTCTTCTCATTCGCTCAAGCTAAGTGAAAAACTCTTCTTTCTCTCTCTATATTGACAGACATATATATGTATCTCAATCATCTATATCATAATTTTTTTTGAATAAACAAAGAATAACACATTCCCAACACAGTTTTGGTGGTTTTGATCTTCTAATTTAATTGGATTTGTAATTTTTGGTGCCAATTTAATTGGGTTAGCAAACTTGCTGATTATTAGAGGATTGAGCCAATACATTAGTTGTATAAATGTACAGATCATAAACTTGGTTTCCAATCAAGTTTGGCCTTATTTTCATGTATACATATAAAAATATTTATTTATTTGTTGTTGTGTCCTTGCCATGTTGCCTCCCGATTTTTTTTACAATTGACATGTCATAGTGACCATATTGTTTCATATCCATATCCTGTATCCATATCCATGTTCTGTAGATGGTTAGTGAAAAATATATATGCACTATTTGACAAACATCATGGCTCATAATATTCACATTTTTTGTAAAAAGTTTCAATTTATAAATTACAATAATGTAATGGTATTGAAGTATTAGAGATGTTTATAATAGTCTATATCAGAACAATGGATGCCAAGAAAAATGGTCTTCAAAGAAGAATACAAGAGAAAAGTGCAAAAACAATTTCACTGAGGTAACTCTACTAGAAAAATTCCATGCACTGTTGACATATCCTTCAACAGAGTCTCACAGAGCCACCTCCAAAATGCGTAAAACACAAAATGCGGACAAAATCATATGAGAAAGCAATGGAGATACTAATAATAACAACGCTTAAAATGAGGGTGCAATAACCACCAAGATTGTTATTCTCGAAGAGTCAAATGAATTGAATTATTATTTCATTTAACTTCAGTTGTGACTTAACTTCCACTAGAATTAGTGGCTTGATGTGTCCAATTCATTAATTAATCAATTTAATCTGGCCTGAATCATTTTTCAATTAAATTTCACCGTAGGCTCTAAAAATTATGCCAATCACAATGGCGAAATCAATTCCGGGTTCTGTGGCCGGTAAGGCCATCAATTTAATTTCCAAAAAAGATTATTCAACAGATATCCCTACGGTGAACAGATAGAACTTCAAACCACATATTTTCACATAGTGGAACACAAAATCATATCAAAATACATAATCACATCATGTTAAGGACCAATTAACATATCACGGAACAGGGGTATTACAAATACACTAGTTAATTCTTATACGTATTTAATTTCAATAACAAATTCCAGCAAAGTAAATGGATAGTATGTCCATTTTGAGGACAAAACTTTTCATTGTAGGTCTCAACTTGCAACAGCACCTTGGAAAAGAACAAAAGAGACGTGTGAGCACGTTCCGCAAAATAGGAAACTAAATCCTAATAGAAAAAGAAACTAAAATCTTAAAAATAAGAAACCAAATATTACTAGGGTCCTAATTAGACTATAATAAAAATAAATAAACATAAATATTAAAAAATAAATAAAATCTTTATGCCAAATTTAGAACGTGCATGTTCTGCATCATAGTGTAATCAAATTCCTTCATGGAGAGAGAGAGAGAGAGAGAGCAAGGAAGCAAATTATCATGTTATGGTACGAGAAATTACAATATCTTATTAACGATGATGCCTAGAGGCCAACAGCTATGAGCCCCATCTCTGTTTCTCTTTCTTTGAAAAGTGGAGATACCATTAAATGAAGTAACAATGCATAAACATCATGAATTAAAATGTTAGATGAACATCATACCTTGTGCATCAGGTGATACAAAAGAATGCAAGCATGCCAATATAAGAGCAACAAAAGCTAACTCCATCCCGAAAGATATAATTTTGTCCAAGTTGATACTTTATTCCCAATTCTCAATGCAACAAAATGTGTAGCTTTCTTTGAATACACAAGTGAGCACCATCTCTACAAAACATTCCATCATCACATTAAAAATGAATCATGTAAAATAAAAATGTTACATTAAACTAAGTTCAAGATTACCATTTTTGTTTAATACTTCTCTTAATTTGTGTTCAAAATTATAATCAGAATCTCTCATAGATGTCTCCTTGTTTCATAGATTTGGGTTACCCCAAAATTTTTAGTAAGTAACTTATATAAGATAATGAGCTGAGTTTTGGAAGTGGGAATGTTCTAGTGACAAGCTAAGCCAATCCCTAGTACCAGTGTTTCTTCTTCAGGATGATCTCATACTCAAGCTAGCCCAATTGACAACCCTACAGTATGTACGATGCACCAATCTCGACCACATTGCACTCCCCTATAGAACCACCCCAAACCATACACCAATAGTGGAATCCTTGTTATTGTTTATAATGCATTGTAATGGTATTAAAGTGTTTTGGAGGGATATGGTACCATTTGCTGGAAGTAACATTGTAATGGTATTAAAGTGTTTTTTTCAATGCTATGGGCCAATTTAGCTTCATATTGCTAAACAATTTGAATTATTCCGGTGTTTGGTTGCCGGAAACAATAGATCCCTCCAGCATTTACTTGCTATATATTTTCAGAGCCACTTTATCTAAACAATGTTTTTTTATTTGTGCTGGGCTCGTTCGGTAATACAATGCTAAACAATTTGAACTACTCTAGTTCCATGTTACCGGATAAAATTTTGTTTCCCAGCATTATGTTACCGTATAATTGGGTAATTTTTGTTCGCTTCCCAACAAAGCCAATAGAGTCCACATTGAAGTGCTTGTTTGGTCACACAATGCGAAACAATTTACAAAAATTCGGTTCTATAACGCCGGAATAAATAGTTTTGTCCCGCTTTTTGTGGCTATACAATTACAGAGCCACTTCCTCCCAAATGATGTGGTAATAATTTGTGCTAGGACTGTTCGATAATAAAATGCTAGTGAATTTTAATTAATCCAGTGTTGTGTTACCAGACAAACTAGTTTTTCCCAGCATTATGTTGCCATACAATTGGAGAATTTCATTTTGCTTCATAACAAAGTCAGTGGAGCCCACTGTGAAGTGTCTGTTCAGGTACACAATAGTAGACAAATTACATTGGTCCGGTGTTATGTTGTTAGAAAAAATATATTTGTTTAGCGTTCTGTTGCTATACATTTACAAAGCCACTTTGTTAAAAATAATAATTTGGGACTGTTCGGTAATAGAATGTTAACGAATTTGAATTAATCTAGTTCGATAAAAAACATCCATAAATCAAACATGCATCTATAAAATCAAATATAAAAAGTTTCCATAAAATATTTCATAGCAAAATCAAGTGTACGAATATCCATAAAAGCATCCATAAATCTGTCATTGTTTGCATCCATCAATCAAACATGTTATCACAATTCTTCTATATCGATTGTTTCGGTAGTTATTGCGTCAGGGCTGATAAGAGTACAGAATTGCTGAATACGGATAGTATATGCTTTCTCCCATCCAATAGCACACGGGTGATGAAAACGAATCCAATTATTTGCTATCCGAGGTACTGGATGACCAGGTTGCAAATAAACCTATAACAAAGAAATCAATAAATATAATTACAAAATAAGACATGGTAATGATGTAAGTAGGCCCGGTAGTTACCTGCACAAAATGGTTTCCATTTACAAATCCTATACATATATCTCTTCGATCAGGTGTTGCAATTGGTACTGATCTAAGTGGTAAAAACGTAAAGCATTGTTGCATGGATAAATGGTAAAGAACGACTCGATAGTATGATGCTATCAAATGGCCCATGTCGGGCATAGTCATCCAATGATTAAACCCAGGGCTAGGTTCGAAGTAGGATAAGATAGAGTTAAGTTCATCAACCCTTTCTTGTGTACCAAATAGTTGCACGTAGTGCACTACATTCGAATGCAACTCAATCAACAAGTTGCGCCTAACTTGTTGCCAATCATCTTCACCTAAACCAATCAATCTAGCTATTGCCCTGAAGCCACAATTGCCATCTGCTTGTACATCTTTTATGTGACGGATATATGGTCTCAATTTCTTCAGAAATTGTTCGAAGCAAGAGATACGATTTGTTGACTATGTCATACAAACCTACATCACAAATATACAACAATGGATATATGAAGTAATTAAAGTGAGGCTGGAAAACTATTAAAATATATTTTGTACATAGTTACAAGTTTTATGTAATTACGTACATTATCTTTTTTTGCCTTCTTCCGTTGCACTTGCTTACGAACTGGTGCAGTTGAGATGGTAACACCCTGTGAATAACTATCTTCCCCAGATAGTACAAACTCAAACGCAGATGGCTCGCGTTTAGTAGACGTATCGATTTTGAATTGACCATGGCCGCGACCTCGGCTCCTCCCTCGCGTGTTAGTCTTGAGTTCAGGTTCCATCAAAAATGTACTTTCTGGACTAATTAACTCCCTCAATTTCTTCAAAATGATCACTTGTTGCGTCTCGTTAATCGTTTGGAATTTCTTAATAAAAAAATCAGTCTCTGTTTTTGCAATCCAACTTCACAAAAGTACTTTATGAAACTGGAAGCATATCTAACTTCCTCCAATGAGGATTTACGCATGAGAGGGGAATCAGTCGACCTTGTTGAAAATACTCAGCTATTTCATGTGCACATGGCAACCCATGTGTACGTCGCAAAATGTACCCACATGCAGCAACATCTATTCCCACACTATTCGATCTCTTTGACTCTACTAATATTTTGTCCAAACTACAAATTGAAATAAAACCACGTAACTCAGTGAACTCAGTAGGTGTGTAGTTGTGTTGGACTACAATCAAACTTTGCTGAAATGAGGTTTTAATGTCTGCATGCTGCAACTCTAACAAATTGTGTATTTTTGTCCAAGATGTCTCAAAACTGCCTTGACTCGATCTAAGTTGACTCTTCAATTTAGCATGAGAACTCTCTGCCCTACAAGTTTGTATATTTTGGTATTTAATATAAAAATCAAAGAATTATAGCAATTCATAAATGCAATGATCATAATTTACCCGTTTGTAGTAGTATTTTCGAAATGCATATTACTATCTGTCGAAGCTGCAACAAATTTTTCTTTATATGGCTCTAACCAATTGGTAGTAACATACTTAATAGCTTGAGGATACGTACTAAATTCAGTCTTCATAGTGGAAAACTGTTCATTGAATTCTGTTTCTGTTCTAACCAATACCAAAGCACTCCAACTATGCATGAACTTATCCCATTTATCTTTCGTCTCAAAAACCTTCTTGCATTTCATCAGAACATTCTTGCTAATATGCTATCTACATAAAAGATTAGTGGCCATAAGTAGAACTTTTGCTATGCCTTTCATCAAAGCCAACTCCCTGTCTGTAATAATGACTTTTGGAAAAGCAGTATTGTCCATAACAGTACGCAATACGCCTAAAGCCCATGTATAGTTGTCCTCCCGTTCATGACTAAGATAAGCAAAAGTAACTGAAAAAGTCAAGTTCGTTGATGTTACCCCAACAATCTCTAAGAGAGGGAGTGGATACCTATTAGTCTTGTATGTGCAATCCATAATCAACACATGTGAAAATGCACGTAACACCTCCAAACTAACTGGGTGTGCCCAGAACAAGTCAGTCACCATCTCTCTATCATCACATCAATGCCACTCAACATAATTTTGAATCGACAATTGCCCCAATAGTTGTTGCATCTGTGATCTTCCCGCCCTCTGTACTACTCGATGTCGATGATGTGCGTTATAGATTGTCTTGATTGTTGTCGCATTAAAGGTATCCCTTTGTTTCAATGTAACCAATATCTCTTTTGGTCACACCATACTCTTCGACATGTCAACTAATAAGGATGTTTCCTCCTTAGATAATCTGCCAGCAAATGAGTGCCCTTCAAGATGTTCAGCAAACGGATGATTGTGTACTCCACATAAGACACGCAACATCCACTCATCATTTGTAGGTAATTTTTCCCCCCTTAATAGAAATGGACATCTACACTTTTTAGAACCTGTCAACCTCAATCGTTCCCCCTTGATCTTCCTGTTGTCTCTATAATAACCACTTCTTTCACAAGTAAAGGCAAGTCTTGATTTTTTGCCATTACCTCCTGCATCTGATGTTTTTATAACAATGACAAATCCAATATTCTTTCCAACGTCAGAAGCCCATTTAATTAATGCTTGACGACTACTAAAAATCTAAACATAATAAATACATTTGTACGTCAAATTATTAATAAAACTCAATATAAATTAGAAATAAGAAAAAATTGTATTCATAAAAAAACTTAACAAATCTCGTCTGTAATGAATTCATGATTAGAGTCCACTAATAATTCAGTACTTGCATTGTTGCAATGAGTATAAGTAAAATCCTTCCACAAAAAAAAAAAAAGTTATACGAAAAATACATGACAATGAGTAGCCGAACAAATTTAAAAAATTTGGCTTTATATTATCGGAAATTTATATTTTATTCGGCAATTTGATACTAGACTTATATTTTTTTTTGGGCACTGTGATGCTGGATTATGTTATTTTGTTCAATTTCAAAACACAAAACAAAAGTCGCACACCAACCCAAAAAATCGAAACAAAAACCCAAAAAATCGAACAAAACCCATAAAATCGAAACAAAAACCTACCAAACTAGAAAAAAAAACTCACCATTTCACTTTTTTGATGGTTTTTCACCACCGTTTTTTCATCCATTGCTTTTTTTGATGATCAAAACACTAAGATTATCAATTTTTCAAAAGAGATGTGTAAGAGAAAATAAAAATTGAGAAAGGAAAAAGATAAGTAGGAATTGAAAGGTCAGGGATGTAAGGAGATAATCAAATACATTTAATTTTAGTATTTTGTCCCTTTAAGTAATTTCACATATAGATAAAATTGGAAGAAAAAAACAATCTTATATGAAAGTATAAGGAGATAAAAGAGTGGTATAAATAGAATCACTCCATACCATTAGACAAAGAAAATTTAAATTTGAATTTATGGATAAAATGGCTTATTATTATTATGGACAGAGAAGTCACCCAAACAAAATACATATCCACGAATTCAACAGAAAAATCCGTCCACAACCTTAACGCCGTAGACATTAGAGAGTAATCCAATGGTCCAGTAATTATACATTAAGATGCAAAGTGAGAGGTTAGAAATTCAAATTGATGGAATGGCAGCAAATCCTTCAATTTTAATACTGACATACTAACCCAATCTTTAATAAATAAATAAAAAATTAACGTGTCGCTTTTTCAGCTATCAAAATGATATGAAGTATGGGTAATTTGAAAAAAATGTCGCATTCGTATCGGATACTTACTAGTTTATAATATTTTGTATGGTACTCCTACATACGTACCAAGTATATGAAACACATATTTAAATTTTGTTTTAAAATTTTTGACGTACTTAAACGTACCTAGTACATACTTGCTATAGCGTATTTCAGCCAAAATAATATTTTTTTCTACTACATAGATAAAATTTCTTTTACTAGATTTCTTTTTTATTTTTAGTTTTATACTTAACATGATTTTAAAGTTAATTTATAATTTGTGAGTTACTTAATATAATGATATTTAATTTTAATTTATACCTTTATTTTTTATATTATTTTTGACATTAAATGTTAATTGTAAATTAAACATTAACAAATTAAATCATTTAATCAATTTTTATATTATTCTAAATTAAAAATAAATATTTTTTTTTTGCAAATATACCAATACGTATCCCTATCTTTATCTTTTTAAAATTTTACCGTACCAATCGTATCGCAACCCGTGCTTCATAGTCAAAATGTTAAGAAAATATTGGGGTGTCGTTAGACTCGCTCATACTGACTGCTATCTCACTAACGACATCGATCCGTGAATCTCATCTGTCCCTCTCTCTCTCTCTCTCTCTCTCTCTTCTCTCCCATCCACACGTATATGTACAGATTACATATGTATATATTCATAAAAAATATCTCATTTGGATGTACATAATGTAATGTACAATATATACAGGGCCTTAGACGTTATTCTTCTGAGTTTCAATTTTCAGCTCATATCATATCTGTGCTTCAACACTAAGCTTTACTGAATTTTAGCTTTTGAGAGCTACTACTTGTTTACCCCCCATCTCTCTCTCTCTCTCTCTCTCTCTCTCTCTCTATATATATATATATATGTATGTATACATCATCACTGCAGGACATCTTTTTACCTTTTCCTGTAATTAATGTGGGGTGTAAGATTGTTTCGCAAGAAAACATTCTTAACTTCCACGGGACTGTTTGGTGTCACAATCTCAACTGTCGTATTCTTTGATTGGATTGCTATAAATTAAAGGCTCTGGGATTGTTGTTTTGTTTTAGTTAGAGCAGTTCTTTTGTTGTTGAATGTTGAGATCAAAGTGTGTGTGTGTGTGTGTTTTTTTTTTAAGTCTGTTCATCTTTGGTCTTGTTGAATTTAATTGAAACAAGGGGCTTTCCTTTTTTTTTTTCTTCTTTTTTTTGGGGGGGGATAAATTATGAAGACTTTCATGTTTTTCAATGTGCTATTTCTTTTGATTGTTACTAGTGTGTCTCTGTTATGTGGGTGTGTATTGTGTAAGGAGTGCACTAATGTTCCTACTGCATTATCATCACATACTGTTCGGTACGAGCTATTGTCTTCTAATAATGAAACATGGAAAGAAGAGATGTTTTCACATTACCATTTGATTCCTACCGATGACTCTGCGTGGTTGAATTTGCTTCCAAGAAAGATTTTGAGTGAGGGGGGAGATGAATTCAATTGGGCAATGATGTATCGAAAAATGAAGAATTCGGGTGGGTTGGAAGTGAATGGTGATTTCCTCAAGGAGGTCTCCCTACATGATGTGAGGTTGGATCAGGAGTCATTGCATGGGTGGGCACAGCAGACCAATTTGGAATACCTTTTGATGTTGGATGTAGATAGCTTGGTTTGGAGCTTTAGGAAGACTGCTGATTTGCCAACACCTGGCACGCCGTATGGAGGTTGGGAAGCCCCAAATTGCGAACTTCGGGGTCATTTTGTAGGTTGGTAGTTTTTCATTGTTAATCACATCCCTTTTCTGTTTTATGTTTATATCTTTTGTTTTGCTACTTTTCAATGTGTTTCTATCATGGTCCTTACAGAATTTGCTAATAAAATTTTAATTTCTTTTATTGTCCTTTTATAGTATCTATGCCAATGAAGTCTTATTTTAGTGTCATGCATGAAATTGGCATTCAACTTCTGCTTTATTAATTCTTAAATCAAGAACTGCCCAACTAGCAAGCAACAATCCTCTTTGGTTGTAAATGTTGTTTATGTTATTTGTCATATTTTGGTTTAATTTTTAATTACCAGTGTAATATGCGTGAAATTGCTGCGTGATTTAGCTTTGTGGTTCTATGAAGGGTTCTTCTGGGGACTTCTAAGATAATTGTCAGGCAACCTTTGTGTATTTGCTTTGGGTTAATTTTGTTAAATTCTGTTTGTATCAAACCTTGAGTCATCCCATTTCATAATGGATCCCTTAAAATTGAGTAGTGCCACATTTGCAATGATCAGTCTCTTTTTTATTATGATCAAGTCTCATCTCTTTATTACTATTTTTTATTTTTATAGCTTTTGGTCCCTATTTTGTGGCTAGTGTATGACTTCAACTTGTGAACCTCTGTTTTGGTCATTGGAATTGAATCAATTCTATATGATTTTAACAAGCAACTTACTTTTATGTATTGAAGGCCATTACTTGAGTGCCTCAGCACAGATGTGGGCTAGCACCCACAATGATACTCTCAAAGAGAAAATGTCTGCACTCGTCTCTGCTTTGTCTGCCTGTCAAGATAAAATGGGTACAGGATATCTTTCTGCTTTTCCTCCTGAGCAATTTGATCGTTTCGAAGCTATAAAACCAGTTTGGGCACCATATTACACCATTCACAAGGTATAAAGTACTATAGTTGTTTACTAATTTGTTTATTATATACCATTGATATTAACACTTCCTACGTCAACAGATACTGGCAGGTCTTTTGGATCAACACATATTTGCCAATAATGATCAAGCTTTAAAGATGGTGACATGGATGGTTGACTACTTTTACAACCGTGTTCAGAATGTGATAGTGAAGTACACTATTGAAAGACACTGGCTATCATTAAATGAAGAAACTGGCGGCATGAACGATGTTCTTTATAGGTTGTACACAATAACGGTGCGTAAAACTCATCTAGGAACCTCCTTAGCTCTTCATCGTGGTAAAGTAGCATAATTATCTGTTATATTTTTTGTATCAAATATCAGCCTGAATGACAGGGTTCATAAGGCATTTGGAAATTCCACATAATAGCAAAAGGAGTCATAAACATCACATATTCACTTCCTATATAGCATTATGGCAATCTGCAAAAGGAGTTTCATCCAATCTGCAATTCTGCAAAGAATTTGGCATCTTCTTTGAATATCTGTAGTGCGATTATGCCCTTAATTCCACCAAATATTGCATTGAACAAACTAATGTCATTTAACAATCCCAAATTCCCTATATAGAGCTGTAAAAGCTGGTTTGATAAATGGCAACACTTTATGAGATTTTTGTAAATTGTCACAATTGGTCAGGGATTTTGGTTTAATAGTTCTTTTTCATTGGGATTGGGGGGTTTGGGAAGAAGGGATACTGAAGTGTTGTTAGTCATTCGTAGATTATCACTATAGTGTTTTTTCTGTATCTGCAAATTCTCCAATAATTTCAAACTTATTTTTTGACATGGCCGTTTGTTTGTTGTGACTATGTGTAGGGAGATTCAAAACATTTATTGTTGGCTCACCTTTTTGACAAACCCTGCTTTCTAGGATTGCTTGCAATACAGGTAATTATCACTTTTTTTGTTTAATTACTTTAAACTTCTACTGGTAAATAGATTGTATTAAATTTTTGCATCAATGTGGTGATGGCATACAAGCAGTGAATAGGACTGTCCAAAGATGCCACTAGATTCTTGAACTATTTGTGCATAAAATTGATAACATGGAATAATAGTTTGTTATGCATACATGTCATAGTTTGCCGGATATAGAAATAATGGAGATAGATATCGAGTTGGACTTTGGATGTTGAGAGTAGTGTACATTCCAACTTTATAGCAAGGATGCGGTAATAAAACCAGCTGCCCTTGATTATTGAAATATTGCACTACTTGAACAATTCTAACATGAAAAATTGATGGGAAATTGATGCGAAAACAGTGCTCCTTAGATAGCAAATTACTTAATGTCAACTACATCAATCAGTTCTCTAGTCACCTCTATGTAAAACTAGATCGTTTCTCAATGAAGTCAAACTCACAGCCCCAACCTATGTAATCTTTTGCCTTCCTCTTGTCATTTGGCACCCTCAACTTAGATTGAAAGACTTACTTGTTTCTATGCTATAATTGGTCTAGGTTGCATCAAATCATGACTTTTCTCTTTCTCAAAAGGCATGCGTATTATGTATGACCATTGTGGAACAACCTAAAATGACCATTATGGAACAACCTAAAACCAGTTCACTATTAAACTTGACATGTTTTAGTCTTTGAGATCTTATCCCTTGTGCCTAAACCATTCCTAGAAACAATAAAAAAAAATAAAAGAGGGGAGAAGAAGAGAAAAGGGAAAGGAGACCAAGGAACAAAATTTCAATTCTTTTCCATCAATACGGTAGAAATGTTTCCGTTTCCTCATAAACCAAATGAAACATTAGTGGAATGCTAAAAGTCCAATGTTTCCACCAAAACATACTGCAACGCCACATAACAATACCCAAATAGAGAGTTGTTTTAAGTTTCGATACCTATCAGCCTATCCAACAATACTCATTTCCATATGCAATTTTTTGTCAAGAAAAGATTTGAGATGAAAGAAAATATTAAATTGGGTAAATTACATTGACCTCCCCTAAGGTTTGAAGAATTATAGCGAGTCCCACAATTTTAATGCAATTACAATGGCCTCCCTTTAATTTCAAATTGTATAACATTACCAAAATTTTAACCATATCACTATTTTATTAATAGAATTTCAATTTCTCTATTTTACTAATTATTTTTAAAAAATTTGAAAATGAAAAAACAAGTTAATGGGTGAGACAAAATTACTTGTTTGTGAATGTAAAGTACTTTTTCTTTACAAAGATTGTCGCTGGTATTTTTTTTTTTTCTTCTCATTCATAATGCTACTAATTTTTAATTTTTTTTTTTTTAAAAAAACTTTTTCTTACAATGGAAAACCCCCCATTCCTTCCAAATTAGTCCTTTAAATTGTTTCCGTTATGAACATGTTATATTCATAGACCTCAAATACATTCAATTTTTTTAATTATTAAGAACGTATTAACATTTATGAAGGCTCTAATTTTTGTTTTGAAATATATTCTTATGTTTGAATCATTTCCGTTTCCAAGCTAACCAAAAAACATACCAAAATGAATTTTTGATCCTTGGAAAGGACAAGGCAAGAGAGGAAGAATTAAATAAAGCTAGAGAAGAAAGAAGATCTCCTAGAACACACACGAAGAGAGAACAAGACCCTTCACATTAATTCTGTAATTTGTACTTCAGTAGTGATATACTCTGTTTTAGAGCCATAATGTATTGTATGGTTTAGAAAGCTCTCCACCCATTTATAGAGTTTTAGATCACTCAAAAATAAGGGCAATGGTAGAGGGCCACAATTTGTGTGGCTCAAATGGCTCAAAACTGTCAAAACGACGTCGTTTTGAGCACAAAACATGCCAAAACGACATCGTTTTGACAGTTTTGAGCCATTTGAGCCACACAAATTGTGGCTCTCAAACATTATTCCAAAAATAATCAAAAAGATCCTTTTTAATGTGGTAATATAAGATCCAAATTCCGTTGTTTCCATTTTGACTTTAAAGTTGCCATGTTTAACCTATTTTCCTAGTGCTTGGGTATAAGACTAAAACTACTTACATATGGTCTTGGATTCATTTGTGTCGTCCTTGACCTTCTCGTGAGAGATTGTAGGATCAGTTCTCCATAAGCTCCTTTTTTTAGTTGATTAGTAATATTCCATTAATCATAAATTTGTTTGTTTTCTTTGACTGTAATGTAACCTCCATCATGATAATATACAGTGTTATTGCAAGCATAATCATCTATTAAATATTGACTCACAAAAACTATCCATTTTTTGTTCTAATTTATTGATCTAAATTTTTCATCAAAACAACAAGCATTCAATGTCTTATTTCATATGGAATTATTTCTTGTGTGAAGTTATTCTGTAAATCTCATGAAAAAAGCAAGCTCTTCTAGTCAGATTTCTCTAAACTAACTCGCTTCTGAGAATTTTGAGTGCTGATTTAGATACCTACAAGGAAGGTGAGAGACGAGAGACATAGAAAAGGAAATTTGTTTGTTTTCTTTGACTGTAATGTAACCTCCATCATGATAATATACAGTGTTATTGCAAGCATAATCATCTATTAAATATTGACTCACAAAAACTATCCATTTTTTGTTCTAATTTATTGATCTAAATTTTTCATCAAAACAACAAGCATTCAATGTCTTATTTCATATGGAATTATTTCTTGTGTGAAGTTATTGCTGTAAATCTCATGAAAAAAGCAAGCTCTTCTAGTCAGATTTCTCTAAACTAACTCGCTTCTGGGAATTTTGAGTGCTGATTTGGATACCTACAAGGAAGGTGAGAGACGGGAGACATAGAAAAGGAGAAGAGAAGTTGCATGTCAATATATATATATGTATATATCTCATAGTGACTTAGGCCTTGAGACGGCTCTACATATATATATCTCATACAAAAAAGGAAATTCTCTTAAAGGAATTTGATTATTTAAACTAATTTGATATTAATCAATATGGTTTATCGGTTTTTCAGTACCTGAAAACTCATCGGGCACACTTATCAAACACAAGAGTGCATTAAGGGGCCCCTAAACAATAACCTACTTGATACATAAATTTTTTATAAGCAACAGAGAAGATTGTATTAGAGAACTTGTTGGGGGGACATATCCCAGTAATAATAAATGAATAGAACATAAGATAACTTCAAAGTCCCAAGAAGTGTAAGTAACCACACCCAACTACGAAAATACATCAATATAGTGCCAACTACGCAAGGGTTCCTTTTCAGGGTCATACATGGATTTCCAATTAATCTCTCCGGCTTTGCCAATAACCACAACTGAAGTGTATCAAGATGCTCTTCCCTCTTCCTTTAGCTTTGTCCTAAAATCTTCCATACAGACAAAGAAGGCACCAAGAGGGTTCTTGGAAACCTTACTTTTCCCACTTAAGCTTCCACCAATAACCTTAACATAACACTTATCCACACTCAATCCCCTCTTCAAATGCTTATCATTGCTTGAGCAATGAAGCCTTCTAAGCTCCCTATCCTCATGGAGGATAATAAATCACTCCTTATTTGTAACCTTCTGGCTCTCGCCAATCTTTGTAACCACTTGTTCAATCTAATCATGACTACTAAGGAAATCAGCATTATCATTTTAATAATCAACTCCTTGGAATTTTCATTTAGTCTGGCAACCTTTTCAAACATTAATTCTCCATTGACATCCTCATCAAAGGAGAAATCAACGTATGGAATGCTCTTTTATCTCTCTCCTTTTCATCATTTTTTCCCTTTTTAATCTTTTGAATAATTACCAATGATTTCTAACACATCGGAATATGTCACACGAGGCTAGATATTGTTCTAGCAAACAAAGAACACTTTGAATCCACAAGGAGGAGAGAATGCTCAAAGAGAAACAAAATTATATTGAATAACAGTTGATTTGCCCTAAGGCATATATCCTTATTTATAATGAGCTAAACCCTAACTGAATAAGAAAACAAGGAATTAGGCTAATTCCTTGTTAGACATGAAGATAAACAGAAAATTGCCAAAAATAGAAAATTTGAGTTAAGCCCAAATATAAATACTAGGAAACAATAGAAATGCACCAAAATAGAAGGCACTAAAAATGGACTTCTCAAAATAAGGTTATTTCGAAAACAAAACTTTCCTAAAACGGCAAAATCACTAATTTGAGGGCCTAAATGAAGGAATTTTGCTAAAATCCACCTTCATCATCACCGAGGCGACAATACATTTGATTTAAGACGCCGTTTATGATCAGACTATCAAATTTGAGATGATTCTAATTTCGTCACAAAAGTGTCACTACTACTCTCAATATGGCTTATTCCTTGTCTTTTGCCGATCCAGTTGTTCCTAGAATTCCTCTGCTACTTGTTCTACATAAGACCCTTCTTCTCGGAGAGAACTCGACCTCGAGTTCGATTCTGGATAGAGAGGTTCTTCACCATGATACTCATATAAATCAGCAACATTAAAGATCTTGGAAATCTTCATGTCTTCTGGTAGCTCAATCACATAAATTGATTTTCTTCAACACCTTATATAGACCATACTTCCGAGGCTTCAATTTGTTGTATGCACCAACTGAAAACTTGTCTTTGCACAAAAACACCATCACTGAATCTTCTTCCTTGAATAGTTTGGGGCACCCATGGTTGTCTATAGCTTCCTTATACTTGGCATTTGTCTTCTCCAGCTTTTGTTTTACTTCTTCATGGATTGCTTGGGCTTGTTTGGCCATGGTTTCATCCACAATACTCACTCCTGGACCTCGAGAGACAAGCGTCACAAGTCCACTGCATGCTCTGGTGGTGTCACATACACCAAAGAGAATGGTGACTTTTGTATGGCACTGTGAACTTCATTATTATATGCAAATTCTACTTGAGGCAAAGCCAGATCCCATTGCTTTGGTTTGTCTCCACAAATCCTGTGAACCAAATTTCCCAAAGTTCTATTAGTCACCTCCGTTTGATCATCTGTTTGAGGATACGTGGTTGAACTATAATTCAAGGCAGTGTCAAATATCTTTCACAAAGTCACCCATGATCTGAAGTAATGGATTGAGAGGTACTCCATGCAAGCGAACTACTTCTCGAAAGAATAATTGAGCCACATGAGAGTCGTCTGAAGTCTTTCGACAAGGAATAAAATGTGCCATCTTTGAAAACCTGTCAACCACCACGAACACAGAATCAACTCCATGTTGGTTACAAGGAAGTCCCAATACAAAGTCCATCGATAGGTCTTCCTAAATGTTGTTAGGGACAAGTAAAGGCATATATAGGCTAGTATTTTGAGATTATCCTTTGGATACCTAACAAATGTAATACTTCCTCACAAAATTGCCAACATCTTGCTTCAACTGAGGCTTGAAATATCATTCTTCCATACTTGCAACAGTCTTGTCCTTGCCCAAATGTCCACTTAAGTGACTGCCATGGAGATCCCAAATCAATTTCTCTCGCAAAGAGGCACGGGGAATGCACAAGCGATTTCCTCAAAATAGATATCCTTCAATTATGTGGAAATTGGTGACTGGGTGTCTTTGAATACACTTGGCCCATATCTCCTTGAAGTCATCGTCAACTTGATAAAGGCTTTTCAAGAACTCAAAACCCACAATCTCATGTGTCAACGTGACTAATAAGCTAGCCCATCGACTCAATGCATCTGTAATTCGATTTAGAACCCCTTATTTGTGTCGAATAGTAAAAGGAAATTTCTGAAGGAAAGTAGACCATCTTACGTGCATGTTATCCAGGTGCTTCTAGTTGTTAATAAACTTTAAGGCTTGATGATCAGTATGCAAAACAAACTCACTGTATCAGGTAATGTTCCCAATGCTTCAAAGCTCGAACCACTGCATAAAATTCTTGATCATAAATACTCCATTTTTGCTGAGCTTCACTTAATTTTTCACTGAAAATGGCCACTAGCTTATGTTCTTGAGACAAGATAGTCCTGATTCCCACACCACTAGCATCACACTCTACGTCAAAGATCTTCTCAAAATTGGGCAAAGCTAGCACTGGTGTAGTGCATAACTTCTCTTTGATAAACAAAAAGCTCTTCTCTGCATCATCACCCCACATAAATTTTCCTTTATTCATGAACTTTGTTATTGGTGATACAATAGTGCTGAAACTCCGAATGAAATGCCCATAGAATGTAGCTAACCCATGGAAACTCCAAACATCACTAACAGTCTTGGGTGTTGCCCACTCTTGGATGGCTCGAACCTTCTCTTGATCCACATGAATGCCCTCCTAACTAACAACATAACCCAAGAACAACAAAATACTTGTTAAGAAACTTCACTTCTTACGGTTAATGTACAGCTTGCTTACCTCCAGTGTTGTGAACACATCTTGCAAATGTGCTATGTGGTCGTCCTTTGATTTACTGTAGATTAAGATGTCATCAAAATAAAAAAATAAAAAAAATAAAAAAAACTCTGAATTTTCTAGTGAAAGGCCATAATAGCTGATGCATAACTCTCACAAAAGTGCTGGGAGCATTGGAGAGGCCGAATGGCATAACCCAACCATTCATACAAAGCATCATTTGTCTTGAATGTTGTTTTCCACTCATCTCCAGGACGAATCCGAATTTGATGGTACCCACTTCGCAAATCGATCTTTGAGAACCACTTTGATCCTTCCAGTATGTCCAACATATCATCTAGTTGGGGAATGAGAAATCTGTACTTGATGGTAATCTTGTTCATGGCTCAACTGTCTACACATATTCGCCAACTTCCATCTTTCTTTGGCGTTAATAATGCAAGTATAGCACAGGGACTTAGGCTTTCATGAATACGCATTTCACAGCAACTCTTCGATTTTCTCTCGCAGAATCTCACTCTCTTTTGGACTCATTTTGTAGAGTGGTAGGTTCGGTAAACCTTCTCTTGGTACAAAAACAATCTAATGCTGAATGTCCCTCATTGGTGGAAGGTCATCTAGCAAATCATCAGCAGCAAAGCTCCTTGAATTCCTCTAGTAATGGTTGAATTTTCTGAGGATTTAGTATTATTGTTTTCTCCTTAACCTCAAGTACCATTGTTTTCTCCACCATAGCATATACCTCTTTGTGAGGCTTTCGTATCTACCACAAACTCAGCCTTTGAATTGGCCATAGTGAGGAAAGACTTCCATTCTACTTTTAGAGGCACTGTGTGTTGTTTTAAAGGACTCATAACAATTTTATGAGACCCCCAGTTGAACACATAAGTGTTTTCTCACTCCCTAAATGTAACATCCACATCAAATTGCCAAGGTTTGCCGAGCAATACATGACTAGCATCCATATCAACTACATCACATAATACATCTAATTTATAATTTTTGCCAATAGAAATAGGTACCTTACATATTTCAGTTACCTTTGCAGAAGGTCTTTTTTTTTAATCTAGCCAGGTTCAAGTGACAACTTCAGGTCCTCTACCAATCACATAGCCACCAAATTTTCACAGCTTTCATTGTCTATGATAAGGTCACATACCTTTTGATTTATAGAATAACAATATTGAAAAATACTACGATGTTGACTAAGGTTCTCTGTTTTTGGTGCAAATAGAACCCTTTGCACTACACAGTTGACTCATTCTCCCTGTTCTATTGCAAATTCAGTCCCATTATACTTATCACCCTCATACTCTGCTTCTTCATCAGTCCCAATTTCATGTTCCTTTTTGGCTAAATTAATTGTTCTCCATTCTGGGCACACATGAGAGCGATGGCCAGGATTTTCGCATCTATAACACTTATACTTTGTTGATTTGGCATAAGGATTTGTGTTTCGACATGCCTCCCTGCTACATGATCCAGTCGTCTAGTTGCCTCTCCCCACTAGCAGCATTTCTCTGTTGATTTACTGGAAATATTGGTTGGGCAACCTCTTTTCCTTTTTCAGCAGTAGGAAACAATGAATCAAAAAGGCTCCGACGATATCCGGAATATGTCTTCTTGCGCTTAATTAAAGCTTTCTGCTGATCGGTTAAGACATTAATACTTGGCCCTCCAAAATTTAAACTATTCATTTCAACTATTGCTTTCCAATAATTGTTTTTAGGAATAGAAAATTGATTAATATTTGATGAACAAAGACAATTGTGATGTTCATCTTCTGATGTTGTATTATCAGAGTCAGATTCTAATTTAGAATTCCATAGTCACTATTTGTTGGTACTCCACAATTATAGCATTTTGCTTTAGATTTATCTGTCTTCTGATAGGTAGAGGTTGATGATTTAATTTGCTGACTAAAATATCTTTTGTTGGGAAAATACTGCTTTTTTCCTTCTAAGATTTTGTATAAGGTTTTATTTTTCGTTGTTTCTTTTTAGATTTAGGATATTGAATTTTGGTGTCATAAGCAAATTGATCACAAAATTATCCTAATTACTTACATCTAGTTAAATTCTATTTCTTCATTTGATACTAAAATTTAAGATCATTACAGAGTGCTAGACCTTCCTGGATAACTATTCCAATTAATTGGCCATATGTGTACTGGTGCTAAGGGATTTGCAATCCATCATGCTTATCCCTAAGCTTCTTTCTGATTTTCTCTGAAAATAGATTCGGTAGGCCATTAATAAACTTGGCCTTCCAGTGCTCACTATTAATGCCAGTATGCTATATAAGAAAGACATCTTTGTACGAACGAAAATGTGTAAGAGAGTGACAAATGTTACGATCTGTTGTTCCAACACCTGGCCCCACAAAATGAACAGGCTTTATTCAACATGCTAATTATGCTTCTTCATAAGACTGATATCTGTGTCAAAGTGAAAGTTTGAAACCTTGTTTGAATATCTTTGATGATGTCTAACTCTTAACTAAATGTGATTTTCTTTTTTCCTTTTTTTGTAATGATATTCCTTATTTTCTTTTGTCTTTTACATGTAGGCTGATGATATTTCTGGATTTCATGCCAATACTCATATTCCAATTGTTATTGGATCTCAAATGCGATATGAAGTTACTGGTGATTCACTCTATAAGGTAAACAGCTGTAATTTGTTTCAATGTCATGTCTGTCTCTTTTTATTTATTTATTTTATTTTTTACAAATGATGTGGATAAAAACAAGAAACACCAAACAATAGTGTTGTAGAAGCTTATGAGTGGGTACAAAGGGAGAAGGATGAGAAACTTTCTAAAAGTAGAAATGGTGCAACTAGCTAATAGAAAATGATAGGAATACAACTCTTCAGTCCTTGACAGTAGATAAGCCACAACAATATCAAGGACTAAAATGACCTCTAAACTACTCAAATTTGACAACCTCCTGTCTCTGGCTAGAATATCTTGATGCTTATTGGGAGACCCAAGAAAACCAAAATCTATTTCATCAAATTAGAGCAAGAGCAAGGACCAAGACTTCGATTTGTTCATTCATTCCAACACCACGCAAGTAGAGTTACCTTCGGTCAAAATAATGATGCAAATCCAAGGAAGCCTCATCTGCAAGGCGTTTCAATGAGCCGGAATTTTTTATGTGATAGTAATTCATATGGCTTGAGTGGAAAAAGGGGTCTGTTTCGTATCATTTTCCATTGTTTTAGACTTCTTTTTTGGTTTTCCTTTGCATGTCTGGAAATGGAAATGATAGTTTTTGAAAACATAGCCGTTAATTGTATTGTGTTGGCGATTTTCATAGATAACGTGGGCTAGGTTATCTAGACTAATAGTATCGGTCAGTGTGACCAATTGTCATTGATTGTAGATCACCAGAGTATGCAATTGTGATTCCATTACTACTAAAGTTATATTTTTAGTATGAACACTTCAAAATAAGTGTCAGTCATGTCAGATACAGGGATACGGCGGGAACACATACACATATGAGACACACCAAGTGACATGTCCCTTTATTTAATTTTTTTTTTAGGGATACTCCGGGGACATGCCAAGTAACTTTTCTTTTCCCATTTTTGTAGTGCTTTTGATGAATGTTGGATATTGAATGTTTATTCTTTTTTTTTATATTTAAATACTTAATAGATCATTCATAAAAAATATATAAATGATAAGTGTTAATTAAAAATGATTTTTTTTCCTAATATCGAAGTACTATTAGTTTTTGTGAATTTTGATTGTTTGTGGTTGTAATATTAATCTACATAGCAAATAAAAATATATGAAATAATATTTTATTGCCAAGTCTCCGCAGTGTTTGTATTCCCATTTTTTTTTGAAATCACCGTATCCCGTGTCCGTGTTTGTGTTTGTGCTTCTTAGGTTTGAGCATATTGCATTAGTCTAGGATAGCTTTTAATGGCAAAATTAATTTAACATAAATTGTCCTGCATACAATGTGGAAAAAAATAAAATGAATGAATTGGTTTATCTGTGAATAAGGTAAAAGCCATGTATATAATAGATTCATGATATAGTTTAGAAAATAATATAAAAAGACACTAAATCCATGATAAAAAAATCCCAGATTTTATACAATCTACTAAAAATAAAAAGATTCGATATACTCTAATTCCTATATCCAATACTCCCCCTTAAGCTAGTGTGAAGATTTTCAACAAACACAACTTGCCAATGGATGACTACAGCAATGTTGTTCCTTTAGACTTTATGAACATGTTCGCTAACTGCTGAGATGGAGTGACAAAGGATGGACTCACAATACCAGTTTGAATCTTTTCTCGAATAAAATGTATATTAACCTCTATATTCTTAGTACGCTAATGTAGGACAAAATCAGAAGACAACATAATAACAGACTTGTTATCAAAAAACAAAGAGGCAGGAGTAGGCTCTTCAAATCGCAACTCTGTTATAATAGAACAAAGCCATAGAATCTCACGTGTTCCCTGTGCCATAGCCCGATACTCAGCTTCTGCAAAAGACCTAGAAACAACTGCATGCTTCTTACTTTTCCCTGAAATAAGCTGATCACCATAAAAAGTACAGAAGCCAGAAGTAGAACGCCTATCAATTTTAGATCCTGCATAGTTAGCATAAGTGAAACAAAAGAATCCAGATTAAGGATCGGCTGCAAAGAATAATCCTAAGCCAGGAGAAATCTTCAAATATCTCAAAATGTGATGAACCGCATCAAGATGTTTTGTACAAGGTGCATGCATGAATTGACTAACAACGCTGACTGCAAATGTAAAGTCAGGTCTAGTGTTGGTCAAATAAATAAGACACCTAACAAGATGCTGTGCTGATACATACTTGGGTCCTCTAGCAACTTGCCAGACTTTGATGTGGGCTTGACATTGGGATCCATAGGAGTAAAATCAAGTTTACACCCTAACATATCAATATCCTCAAGTAAGTCAAAAGTATACTTTCTCTGAGATAAGAAAATTCCCTACCGTGAGTGAGTCACCTAAATCCCTAGAAAATATTTGAGACTTCCCAAATCCTTAATATCAAAGGTGCGTCCCAAATCCCTTTTTACTTGATCAATGCCTACCGAATCATCACTTGTGAGAATAATATTGTTCACATAAACCAGCAAGACTATACACTGGCCTGCCGAATTACTACGAATGAAGCAAGTATGGTATGACTGGCACTGAACAAGCCCCATGGAGATGATGACAAAACTGAAACGACCAAACCAAGCTCATGGAGATTGTTTCAAGTCATACAAAGACTTGCGCAATCGACACACTTTCCCTGAATACTCTCCCTCTACCTGAAAACCAAGAGGAGATGCCATATAAATCGTCTTAAGAAGATCCCCATGAAGAAAGGTATTATTGACATCAACCTGATGAAGAGGCCAAGAATGGGATGTTGATGAGAAGATGAACGGAGGTAAGCTTGGAAATAGGGGCAAAAGTGACTCCAAAATCCTTGCTAGGAACCTGGGTGAAGCCCTTGACCACCAAGCGGGCTTGCTAACAATCAGTAGAGCCATCAGCTAGATACTTCATAGTGAATAGCCATTTGTAGCCCACTGTACTCTCACTAGAAGGTAAAGAAACCAGATCCCAAATATGATTATGCTCTAAAGCTTTCATCTCAGCCTGCATAGCCTCCACCCATTTTGGATTCTGAAAGGCCTCTGACATAGAATGAGGAATGGCCTCTGAATCAAGCTTGCCAAGAAAAGAACGATATGTAGGGGAGACCCTATCATATGAAAGATACTAGGAAATGGGATGATTAGTGCTACTCAAATAACCCCAATGGTCTGGAGGATGTTGATCCTGGGAGAGATTACGACGAGGAGGTAGAAGGGACATATGTAAATGAGAAGAAGTACCTAACCCAAAGACTAGAGAGGTGGTAGGGGGCAGCTAAGAGTCAGGGGCGACGAGAGGATACCTGCAATGGAGGGAGGGAAAGGAGGCAAAGGTGGAGAATGAGGAGGGGGAACAACCTTATCCGTAACCTTGTCTAAAATAGGAATAGGGTGAACATTAGAACTAACGGGAGTGGAAACCTACAAAGGAGGGTTAGTATTAAAAAATGGGCGATCTTCACAGAAAGTAGCATCCAAGGTGTGGTGGAAGTGACGAGACACAAGATCAAAACACTTATACCCTTTTGACATGGAAAAATACCCCTAAAAGACCCAATGAATAAACGTGTCATCCAACTTTGTACGAGCAAGATTCCGATCTTGAACAAAATAGGTACAACCAAAGACATGATGTAGGAGAGGAAATAGAGTAGTGTGGGACATAAGAACATGAAACGGGATAAGACCCTACAACACACGACTAGGGGTCCTATTAATAAGATAGACAAATGTGAAGATAGTCATATGGCAACAGGACTTATGGACACTCATACCATGAAGGAAACACCTCACAACAGACATAATATGACGGTTTTTATGTTTGACAGCACCATTTTGCTCAGGAGTCCGAGGACACGTAAGTTGTTGAAGAGTACCAGTCTGATTTAGATGGGAACAAAATGCATTGGAAACATATTTCCCACCATTATCAGAAAGGATATTCGTAACAACTGTACGAAATTGATTCTTAACCATTGCAAAAACTGAACATCGGAATGTATAAGGTTAAAAACACTAGGGGCACGAGTCATACGAGGTATGTAACTAGTACGAGTATGTTTGGATAATTAACAAACCACATAATGGAACTTAGAATCTTTGCAACCTTTATTTAATAAAGGAAAAATTTGACATAAGTATGGAAAATTGATATGACTCATACGAGCATGCCACAATTCTAAAGTTTGAACATTAAAAACACAAGATATAGAAGTAGGCAAAACAGACACTTGAAAAGTAGCTAAAGTAGAAAAATGTTGGTCTGGTGGATCCCTAAAGTAGTAAAGTCCATCACACGCTCATAGCCTTTGCCAAAAATCCTCTTTGAACTCAAGTCCTGTAAGAGACATGAAAAAGGTAAGAAAATAACCGCACAATTGAAGGTCTTGGCAAGCCAACTAACTGACAGGAGATTATATGCGAAATTAGGAACATGCAAAACAGAGGATAGAGTAATATCAGGAGATAAAGACACTAGATCCTTATTATGAACAGAGGATAAAGACCCATCGACAAGAAAAACAGATTGTTCTATAGTAGTAGGGACGGGAGATGAAAGAAAGAAAAACTCACCCATCATATGATCGAGTTGGCCAAATTTGAGTCTGTAATTGCTATAAAGTAGGGATACTCGGAGACACAGAAGTAGGAGTGGCCTCCACTAAAGTAGCAGTGCGAGGTGTGCCAGAACCGTAAGTGCAAGAAGATTGGTGCCTTAATTCAAGATGAAGTTTGAAGCAATGAGCCTTGACATGACCAGGAGCCCCACAATGATGACTGGTAATTGAACCAGTAGAACCCTGAGGACTAGAGTTTGCGGCAAGGGCCATTTGGTCAGATAAGATAGGAGTCACTGGAGTAGTGGTAGGTTGAACCAGACGCCAACAACGCTCATTATTATCAATGGTGGCTAAGGCCTCATATAGGGATGGCATGGGTGAAGTGTTTAAAATCTGAGTTCGAATAGATTCAAACTCAGAGTTTAACCCATCAGAAACTGATAAGT